ATTAAGATATCTATTGTATCCGTAAATATAACATTGCTATTTATCTACTATATGCAAATACTTTGGTATAGTTATTAAGTATAGAGATACTGCATCGGTCAGGATATTATTATTTTGATGTGTTTTTTTATAATTGATAAAGGAAGTGTCTTTGTGTTTACATACTTAAAATCATGCAATCCTGTCTAAAATCTCTCCATTTTAGGCCACCAGGTACCAAGCCACAAGCCAAGTGTTATGGGAGTTGAAAATGGCGAAATTTCATGTATAATATATTCATAATATGTTTAATTTTTTGGTCACGGAAATGCGTCACGAGCGTCACACGACTATATATATAAATGTGTGTGTGTGTGGAAATCGTGTGGAGCTCTTCCCGACGAGCATGAAATTAGGAGGGTAACAAGGCGAAGGCTAAAATGCTACGAGCGTCACAATGCTGCAATGCAATGCGTTATTTAAGAAAAGGAGTTTCACTTCAGATGTGCACACATTTTTTTTTAATTTTGTAATAAATGATAATTATATAAAGATTTATCAAACGAATATAACACGAAAATTTAAATTGGACGGATTTGTATGACAGTACTACGTAAAATGACCACTTTTATGAACGTCATTGATTTCAAACTGAAGAAATCTTAATTGCAACGTTTAGACCGTAAGAACATCGAGAGATATTGTACGCATTATCGTAACAATAAAAATTAACCTCTATTAACACAGAATGAGTTTAGTGTCCATTTATCACCAGATTACTACGAAAATCTTGTACGTTGCGTCTGGAAAAGTAATAATCGCTTCATCTTTTCCACGCGGCTTTAAGAATGATAACAATTTAATAAGCTATTATAACAAATCTAAATTTTCCGTATCTTCGCAAAAAAAAACAAAGCAAACTTGAAGCGAACTATGTACCTAAGTATTCAAAAACAACATTTTGTCCTTTTGTATAATTGGAATTGTTTTTCTTTATCCTGTTGTCGCGCTGTTTTGTCTAAAAAGGTTTATACAAGTTTTATTAAACGTGCAGTCCGTACGAAAATAGGTTTGTCTGTTTCGTTGCAAACAATTTTTTGGGTTTTAGTATTGTTATGACAGTCAGGTAAGGAGCTAAGTAACTTGCGCCGTCAGACCCCTCTTTCCCAGTGGGCATTTTGCATTCCTCAGATCAAATACAAAGTCCCTAGTTCCTGTTAAATCATCAAACGGGGGTCATAGGGGCACCATTATCCTAATATGCCCAGGGCCTCCAATAGGTCAAAGACGGCACTGTTCGCAGTGGTCGGTCATTGGATGGGTGACCAAAAATCTTCTATCTCGAGTTCCTCCGTACTTCGGAAGGCACGTTAAGCCGTTGGTCCCGGCTGCATCTGTAGTCGTTAGCACCCGCCAATCCGCACTGGGCCCGCGTGGTGGGTCATCGCCTAATCTTCCTATTCCATCCATAGGGAAGGCCTGTGCCCAGTAATGGGGACATTAATAGGCTGATGATGATGACAGTCGGAAGTCGGGAGTGTAAATGGGATGGGGGCCACGAAAACTTTATAGTTTCCATTATTGGAATAACGGCATTCCATCCATCCAATTGCTTCGATTGTTTGGCCGAATTTAGGTTTGATTGATTCATCTTGATGAGTTCTTTGATCCTTGATGTTATCTACCTTTCCACATGAACAAGACGGGAATAAAAACTTTGAATATGTCGACGCAATCCCATGTGTTTGAGATCATTTTATTAGTGTTGGTTTTTGCATAAAATATGTAAAATTAAAACAAAATAAAAAAACAAGTGTGTTTATGACCACACGACTGAAGTGAAACTTCTTTAGCTCCATCTGTATGTATGTATATAGATGTGTGTGTGGACAATATTGACATGTTACTATTTTATATTACTATAAGAGAAAAAGAGAAAGAAACTGCGTGCGCACTGCTTTCTCTTGCTTATATCCCCCACTCAACTCCCGTTCGCCGCGCCCGATTACACTTTTCGTAACGCGTAACGAATTCGCCAGCTTACCCCCCAAGTCAAATATGCGTAAAGGAGTTTAACTACAATAAAGAACTACCTTGTTAACGTTAACGTTTCGTAGCGATGAGTTCTCATATTAGGGGTAGGCAGGCAAACGTAGGCTCTAAGTCGCGGCACGAAACTCTAGCGCTGACCGTTATTGCGCATTAGTAAAAATTAAGATGTCTTGGGGGGAAACGAGGTGCGCGGGCGGATGCGTTGCGCCGATTGGCTCTCCAGCCGTACCCATGCGCAGCTATCCCCTCCGTTTTGTTCAACGCTAGAGTTACGTGTCGCAACCAGTAACTAGAATGACATTTATTGTAGTAAAAAATATACAATAGATTTACGTTTGAGCGCAAGAGACATGAACCAGAAAGAAGGAAACGGAAATGTTGAGTTTTAAGTATAGATAAAGTTAAAAAGATTACGTAACATTTACTACAACAGTGGCATTGGGTTTGCGTTGCTGCATTTTTTTATTGTGATATTGTTTAAGATGCAACGTAATACCATTATGATAAGATGTTGAGATAAAAAATGTCTTTAGTTACGCTTCATGTCTACAAAAAATTGGCAAAGTTAATGCTAGGTTTTTATTAGATGTTGATATTTAACCAAATAAGCAAAATTCGTTGACCAAACAGTGCTAAGAGAGCTCCTCCCCGCTTACGAGATCAACAATCATCATCATCATCAGCCTATTAATGTCCCTACTGCTGGGGCACAGGCCTTCCCTATGGATGGAATAGAAAGATTGGGCCATGACCAACCACACGGGCCCAGTCCGGATTGGTGGGTGCTAACGACTGCAAATGCAACCGGGCCGGAACGGCTTAACGTGCCTTCGAAGCATGGAGGAGCTCAATATAATAATTTTTTGGACACCCATCTAATGACCGACCACTGCGATAGTTGCTTAACTTCAACGACCGCAGCCGAATGCGCTAACCACTTGCCTTCGCCATCGAGATCCCGCCTGTTACTGCGCGAAGGAGCCAAGCGCCCATAAATACGCCAATCGACGGATTCCAGATAATTCCAGTTGAATTGAGAATTCCCTAGTATCCACAAGTACCTATAGTACCTACCTCAGATTAACAATAGTTACAGACAACTAACATAATGGTTTTTGGTCAGTGCATTCGTCCGGATAGCGAAGGGTGCGGGTTCAAGTCCCGTCTACTGCCTAGTCCGCGTGGAATTTTTTCTAGTTATATTTTCTTTAGATTTAAACATCAAGCAGTTACATGCTTAAAAAATTAAAATTATAACTATAATTGCTATTTCTTCTTTCAAATGTTTAATACTTGTAAAAGTATTCATTTGACATTGTGGGTTACCTACAATGCGAAGAGATGGCGCTGCCTTGCAGTTTAAGAATGTTTAGAGGAATTTCGACATGTACCTCCTACATTGTTTCTACCTAACTGCAATGTGGTAGACATTGACAACTTTGAGGACGAGGTGAATAGAAGAGTTCAGCTAGGTTGCTTTGGCGTTTGGGAAGCTACGTCAAGTCCTGACATCCTCGATCCCACAGTGCCTAAAGACGAAAGTCTTCCATCAGTGCGTCCTACCTGTGATGACATACGGAGCCGAGACGTGGACACTGACGGTACGGCTGGTCCACAGGTTCAAAGTCGCTCAGCGCGCTATGGAAAGGGCTATGCTCGGCGTTTCTCTGAAGGATCGCATCAGAAATGAGGTAATCTGACAGAGAACCAGAGATATCGACATAGCCCACAGGATTAGCAAATTGAAGTGGCAGTGGGCTGGCCATATTTGCCGAAGAACCGATAACCGTTGGGGTAGACAAGTTCTGGAGTGGAGACCGCGTCTAGGCAAACGTAGTGTAGGACGTCCTCAGGCAAGACGGAGTGACGATTTGCGCAAGGTGGCAGGAGCTGGATGCGAGTAGCCCAAGATCGATCTGAGTGGCGTGCATTTGGAGAGGCCTATGTCTAGCAGTGGACTAAGATAGGCTGTTGATGATGATTGATGATATGTATCAGTACATGTATTCTACCCGTTACTCTAGTATCCCATAACACAAGCCTACAGCTTACTTTGGGCTAGGCTAATTGTTTTATGTTGAAAATATTTATTTATTATTATTATATGGTTTAAATTTAATTCGATACCTCCACGCGTTCCGGAGATAAAGGGTCTTGAGAGACAGACGGACAAGTGAAGAGTTCCGTTTTTTCGTAAGGAATCCTAAAAAACATAATTGAAAAAAAACTACGGACAGAATTTGCAACGTCGCGTCGGAGCGCAGCGCAAAGAATCAAGTGTCTAGGGATCAAGTTAATATTTGCAATAAAAATATGCAATCAATATTTACCAAATCTATTGTTACAAATTGACTTTTTACTTTGACTCGTTGGGTAACATTCGTGTCCCTACATTTTCTATAGATTGCGTCGCGCAATCAGGTAACAAAGAACACTTTTCTTTTCAGTATTTGTTAGGTAACACAGTTGACAATTCATCCAAGTTAACGGCGTCAATTACGTACGTGCTAGCGTATTTGGTTTCAAGAAAGACACCTTTAATGTGTGCCAAGTAAATTGAAGCGTCTATATACTGTAGTTAAACATCATGCTTGCGTAGTATTCTCATAATTTGATTGGTCGGTTCCTCTGAGTCAGATCGAAATAAATAGTGCATTCAGGAACTAGCCCTACCGCTAGCGAAAAAACGACCAGCTACTGACAATTTCTCCGTCAAACACAAATTTGATGTCATGAAATCAAATATTAACGTAAAGAGATATACTTGATGTCTAATTTCATAATAAGGCGAAGACTCTCGTTTTAAAAATTTATCACTGTCACAGACAGTGGCGACAAAATATTGGCAAAGAGATAGCATTCTTTGCTCACCAATTCGTGTCTGGCACTATTTTTTTTTAGATCATAGTGGAATATGTGTTTTTTTTTAAACCTTGTTGAAGAATATTATAAAGAGCTGCTAAACTGACCTCTTACTATTGTAGCGCCCATCGTACCCAATCACAATTCCGTTATGCAGCGGACTCTGGCTGCAGAATTTCTGCAAATACGATCGCAGACCCTGTAAACAACACAATAAAGTACAACCCTCCTTGAAGGAAATCGGACTGTGATAAATTTAATGCTTAAAGGTTAACTGTTTCATTGTAATGTTAAACGACAATGGACCATCTGAAGCAGCGGTGCAGAACTTTTAGCTTCTGGACTGAGTGATGCACTATTGTTTCCAACCACATCCTAGGCAGTACCAATACATAATCATGTGACTATGTCAAAGATTTATTCCAAAACTAAATAATCATTTAGCAGTCAAATTCCGCTTCACGAGGGTTAAAGACTGTATATGCCGCTGGGGCCAACAGTTCATTCTAAAATACATTTTTGGTCATCCACCTAATGACCCGCTATTATGAAGAATGTTGATTAACTTCCACAATCGCAGTTGGATCGCGTATTATAAAATACGGTACCGTACGAGGGAGAACTGTTTTTCTATAATTTATTGACGCCCGACTCATCTCTAACAAAAGGCCGCTAAAACCATGGTGCCAAAATCATAAAATCAACAAGAGACAAAACAAAATACTTAGACAAATCAAATATCTGAAAATGAATTCGGCTATCCATTCTTAGGTAAGAGGTAAGATAATGTTAAATGGAAGTCCCAACCAATCCCATGAGCGGCGTGTATATCGCAGTTTTTTCGCGCCGCCCACTTAATCGCAGTTTGTGTGGAACCACTTTTAGAGCAGTTCGTATTCCATATTATTTCTAATTCGTTGACGCCAGACAAAAACAACGGTTGAAGAGGGATGCTGCTTTTCTGTGCGTTACGTTTGTATATTAGTTTTTATTATATTTGTATGTTTACTACTTAATCACGCAAAGCAAAAACGCCTCAAAGGATTTGGATGAAATTTGGCACACATATTGTTTATTACCTGGCTGGCACATAGGCAGAAATGTGAATTATTTGAAATACATATATTTGAAATGCAAATACAAAATACCTATTTTTATTTTATATTTGAAATACTTTTTTTCTTAATGTATTTTGTATTTTATTTCAAATACTTTATATAAAAATTTAGTATTTATAAAATACAAAATAGTTTTGTTACATTTTTAATTCATTTTTCCTATTTTTCATTCTTAAATCAATGATTACCTTATTTATGAACGCAGATCGTGATCATAGTGTTGTCAACTACAGTCTTAGGCCCGTATTACAAAATGACAACTATGTGTTGATCTTTACTTGAGTAGCGTTAGAGAGGGATGCCCCTATGTGCTATATATAACGACATCTCTTTCTGACTATGCTCAAGACTAGATTCATTACTGAGAATCTCATTCATTTTGTATTTCTATTTGAAATAGTGCTAACAACTTTGCATTTGCATTTTGCATTTAAATACTTTTAATAAACTATTTTTCACATCTCTACACATATGATATTTTTGATCCCGAAAAACTTAAGGTTTCTGTGGGATTCTCAATGTGGATGAAGTTGTGGGCAAAACCAAGTATATCATACTATATTTAAATGTCACCTGAGCTGTTTGCAGTATAACCACGTCGTTCATGCACTTGTACCCGGCACCCATGCGCCCGCGCAGGCCGGCCGTGCCGAACTTCTGTCGTTGCAGCATCGTCTTTCTCAACTTGTCCCATCGTAAGTTAGTAATATCGTCTATCACCTCTTTGCGAGTTACGGGATTCTGAACAAAAGAAATTGTCATTTAAAGGTGCTGCCAATTTATTATTTTACAAAATTTAATAGTTAATTGGTACAGTCAGCCACATATCTAGTTACAATTAATAACAATGTCATTTTTTCTCATAAAACTAATGAATCGCTCAAATTCAGTTCAGAAATTTGACACTTTTTTGTTACTTGACCAGCCCCCCCAGCATGAGCACTGCAGTATGCTCTGTGGATGTGCTATCACTAAATAGAAACACTTAATTTTATATTGTCTCATTTTCACAAGAAAATATCATCATCATTAATGAGTGTTAACAACTGCAGATGCAGCTGGGACCAATAGCTTAACGTGCCTTCGAAAGCATGGAGGAGCTCAACATAATAAGTTTTTGGTAACCTATCCAACATCCGATTATTACAACAGAAGCTTAAGTTTCATGATTGCAGGGCAAATCCACTAACCACTTGCGCCATTGAGCTCCTCATATCCTCCAAGAAATTATATAAGAAAAGAATTAAAAAAAATATTAATTAAAGTGAATACCTACAAAATCCATTTAGGATTCCATTTGAACTAGGTTTTCATTTTCAATGATTGGTTGTAAATTTTTTATACCACTGAAGTGGAAAACAAGTATGCTTGTAATATAATCGATATTTATGTGTTGTGAATTCTGTAGGATTATGCTGTTTTGAAGAAGCTCATTCTGCAGTTGCTAAGGGCAAGCCATAAAGGGATGACAAGTTTATTTCACAATCCAAGTGGCAAGTGTATTTGAAACTGTACTGAGAGTGACCAACTTGGCTCCAAGGTATATTTTTTGCAATAATCTAATCTATGCGGATAAATTGGAATGGATATACATTAAAATAAAGTGGAACACATGGAATAAGGCAGGTTCTAATTTACCAATGTAATCATTATCAAAACATCTTCAGAAACTTCAACATCATCAAGTAAAAATTATGCACCTTTTAACAATATTTGTAAATTAATGTCTTAATTTAAACATTGATTTACAAATATTGTTAAAAGTAGTGTAATTTTTATAGCTTTCTATTGTTGAATAAATAGTAATAATTTATTATTATATTTTTATTCCTTCAGTAATCATTTCACAAGTTTATCATCCGTACTGTCTAGTTAAAGTTTATAGCCTTGATGTTGATTAATCCATGTAATTGCACCAAATAAAGATATCCATTTATTTTGTTATTTTATGCAAACTAACTTCAACAGTTCCAATTTTGGTACTTTAAATCAGCTCAATCTAGAATAAATCACTATATGACTGCAATTTCAGTAGCCAATAAAACTACCATTAACAAATGTCACCTATCAGTAAAAGAAGACAATTACTAACATGATAGTAATTGTCATTATTAGTGATCTGAAAATAAGGTGCTTTTTTGTCCGTTGCTATAGCTATTTCCATGGCTGTTTATTGAAATAACCTTGGCAATCCAAATACACACATCAAGACACTGACTCTAACTTTATAAGAGAAGACTCCCTAAAAGTTTTAAAAGCAAAATATAGTGTTTTGATCAAATCTGCATTTACATTCAAATGACTCCAGGTTGAATCCAGAAGGCACAAAATTACTATATTATTAGTCCAGTTAGCTATGCCAGAATCGATATTTCCAACTTATCAAAAGCATGCTATACTTTCTTTCTTCATCATTACATATTTCCTTATCTTTTTCAACCAATCAACAATCTTCATTACATTTTTACTTATCATATCAATAAAATTATTAATTATTTTAATCAATGAAATAAAACATCATGAATAAGTGAGTAATCATACGAAAGAAATTCATGATTTTGAATAATCGTGAAAATTTATATGAATTAAAATGTTTTCATAATTTATTGATAAGTAAAATACCTACCTTGTCATGACTTAACCATCCATTTACGGCAGCATCCAAATTTAAATCTCCACTGTTGCACGTAGTCATATTTCTACCAAAAAAGGAAAACAAATATATTTTCGAAAAAAAAAAGTTTAGGAAACCCCATAACTACTTTACTAAATAAACAATGAATAACAAGTACCGAGAAAATTATACAAACTTGAATAAAAGTTATAATAGATCGGTGGTATTTTATTTAAATACTGTCAGATTATTAATTTAGAAGACCAAGAGAAGAACAAAACTTCGGCTTATTGAATGTAACTACAACCACAGTACAACACTCATCAACACCGAAGAAACGAAACAAGAAACTTGCTTCAGATGGAAGCGGAGGAAATGAGTGTCATTGTCAATGTCATCAAGTGTCAAGTTGTCAGTTCGACACTAGTTTTTTTATAAGTAAGGCATGAGAAACTACGAATATACAGCCTTGTCGTATGATAATTTATAATGCGTTTCTTGATTTTAGGGTTCCGAGTCAACAAGAAATCAAAAAGTTTTGCTATTGTATGACTATCTTTGCGTCCTATTAGTGTACTGCACAGTTAACTTCGTAATAAAATCGACAAGAGTTTGAGAATATCATAAGTAGACTCGACCTTCGAGTTGTTAAACAAAATGCTTTTATTTTATAAATGTGTATCAAAGTTTTATTAAAGCATGAAAAAATTTTAACAGATGCCCTATCACTTTAACGAAAGTTTGTATTGGATATATAATGGTGCCGATTCTGGCGTGATTCTCTAAACTTAAAACTAAATTTAACATCAGTCTTTCCTTTTCGCTCTGTATAGAGAATGACAAGGATGCACTGTTGTCAAATTTAAGTTTAGGTTTAGAGAATCATGTCAGAATCGATACCATTGTATTTCTAGTCCGGATAAGAAGATATTTTTATCTGGTTCATGATTTGGAAGTCGGGCGGGTCAAGATTGAAAGACGTATTCTTACCGATCAGAAAGGAAAATCTATTCAAGGTCCCCCCGCCCGACTTCCAAATCATGAACCAGGTATTATTTTTTACTTTATAGTTCCATTTTCGATTTTGAATTCGTTTTTTTTTCTATAAACTTCACAAACTCTAATGTCAAAATATGTAGCTTGACCGTTTCATCACTACAAGAACTATTGTTTGGGTATTTCTCATTTTCAGTAATTGTATCTGTGACAGAGGTTTTTTCTTTAATAACTTATGGCAAGTGGACTTTTTATTTTTATCAAGGTAGTGCAACCATGTCTGGTGAAGACTATTTAGAAATATTTTCATTTTAGACCAGGGGCCCAATTCTCGCGGCGTAGATATTATATCGTCATCGAGATAATATCGGAAGTAGGGATATCTATTGAAAATATCTACTGATGGTAAAAAATGCTATTCTCGTGGATTTTCGATATTCCAATGATATTATATCTATCGTAGATATTCTTTCACTGCCGAATGCGTTCCGTTTTTCTCGATTAAGTTAACATCATAGTCTATATAAAATAATAATAAATTAGAGCAGAATTTTACAAGCAACAAAATGATATTTTATGAATTCCATTCATATTAAATATGAGTATACATTTTTTGAGTATAAGAAATCTCAACTTTACCTAAATTGTATGCGTATATAATATCTACGTTAAGTATAATGAAACGTCAATATTATTTAATTCTCCCTTTTCAGGGAAGGCAAAGGGAACAATTCCTATAAAGCCTAGTCTTTAGTTATATTAATCTTCTTTTTTTTACATTCGAATGTCGGTGTGACGCATTCTAATGTTTCTTGGAGTGTTTGGCACGAAATTTATGGAGTTGGCTTTTTCTCTAAGCTTCTGTGAGGTAGTCAACACTACAATAAACTTCTCGCGTCCACTTGACCGGAATAGCGTATATTTTAAAGATTCCACTAATTCTTCAGTTGCGCAGACGGTTGTAACACCAAATCACACCAATTTTATTTCACAATATCCACTATGAACGAATTTTAGAATAATTAAAATAAGATGCCAACCGCACTCGCAGAAATCCCGCCAAAACTCCGTATCGTCAATAAGAAAATGGTGTCGATTCTGGCATGATTCTGTAAACCTAAACGTAAATTTGACAACAGTGTATCCTTGTCATTCTCCATACAGAATGAAAAGGAGAGACTGATGTTAAATTTAGTTTTAAGTTTAGAGAATCGTGTCAGAATCGATACCAATGTCATTCATAACTTTAAAGATTTCTAACCAAATTTTTGTTTAAACGTAATTTTTTATGAAGTCGGCGTCCCTCATTTCAAATGGGTCCTCTTGCTCTCACAACGGCGGCGCCTTAGCACAGCAGCAGCAATCACGTCATTTATTAAAGCATTGATGAAAACATGAATCAACTCATCCATCGTTAATATAAACTGGTGTCGATTCTCTAAATCTAAACATAAACTTGACAACAGTGTTTCCTTGTCATTCTCTATACAGAATGAAAAAGAGAGACTGATTTTAAATTTAGTTTTAAGTTTAGAGAATCACGCCAGAATCGACACCATTGTTTACCTACTTCTTTATTTACTAATTATTTATGAAGGCAGTTAACAACATCTTGAGGTAACAATAATTGGCAAAGACACACGACAACACAATAAATAATAGGTAAAAAAAGTGGAAATAACAAGATTGACATGCCAAGATCCATAGATATTTATATATCGAAAGCTCTTTACCAGTCGATGTATGTCTACTGATCATCCGTAGATAAATATCTATTGCGACATGGTGAGAATAGGGCAAAAAAGTTTTCCTTCGATAAAAGCCAGATCATTCGATATATATCGAAGGTGATATTATATCTATGCCGCGAGAATTGGGCCCCAGGGTCGATAATTTTAAAAATGGTGAAAAGTGAAAAAAAAATATAGTAGGATGAAACCCATTAGAAAAGGTAGAGAATAGAATAAAAATGAAAGGAAAAATAAATTACGGGCGATCTGAGGTCGGGAAGGGGGAGGGGGTTTTTAAGAGTAAAAAATGGTTAATCTCGATTTCCGGTAAAACTGCAAGTCCTATGAAAAAAAGTTAAATGGCAAAGTTGTAGGCGATAAAAAGATCTACAACTTTTGTATCGACACTTTTTTCACATAACCTCAAAATTTATGTGAAAAATGCGAATAACCGTGTTTTTGATTTTTATTTTTTGCAAAAAAAAATATTTTTTCACGAAATTTGGTGAAAACTTACTTACTTTGTATGTCCCAAACATACAGTATTTTTTTTGATTTAAAATATTCATTTTTTCACCTTATTTTGACTTAATATCGAAAAAGCACCCTTATTTTCAATCGAAAATTCTCACGTCAAAATATCTGCTTTTTTAAAAAAGTTGGGGTGTTTTTTGTTTGTTGAAATCTCTACTTTCTGATGGTGTAAAAAAATATACACTACTATGATAAATGTTCTCAGAAAATGCAAATTAATAATGAAAAAAACTCGAATCCGTTCACACGCGACCAGCGACACGCTGCAGAATGAAAGGGCCCTTAGCATGACATTTCTACACTTTATGGATATTATCCTAAACCCTATTATAAACTAACGATAAAAGAAGAACAATAAACCTTATTATAATTTGTGACTCGGATTTTAGTCACTTAGATATAAATAATACTATAGAACGACTCGTAGAGTTTCTATAGTATTTGCTTGGACGAAGGTCACGATAACTTTTAACTTAGAAATAACCGTGCATGTAACTGAATTTATGTGAGTATTATCAAGCTGCCACCTGTTATAACCAAGTTATAACCATGGTGAGATGTCAATGTCTTACAGACAGATTACTTAGATATAACTCGTTAAGCATACGTGGTCACTACTGTGGTTGTTTTGCCAAGGAACTAGTATTGATTAATTTATATTCTGTTTCGCTGTTTTGTAGTTTTGATGGTCAAATTGCGATTGTCGAAATAGTTTGCAGACGAGATTTTTTAAGGTTAGTTTTCCGTTATTAAACCTAAAAATGTCCTTTCCATGGATGTCACTTTTTTTCTCTATGGAAGTGACCACAGGCACGGTAATATTATCTATACAGTATTGTGACTCCGCCCTGTCCTTGAAAATAAATGCCTACACCGAGCGCTGCGTTGGCACGCGGTAGGGCCGCCAGCCTACAGTATTTTATGTAGTTTTGTTTTTAACGCGAGTGTAGGTAGATTACTCGTTTGTCTCTTTTTTCATACTAACCACTTATTTATATATTATTCCAGATATTTTGCCCGATGGAAAAACCGAAATACCTAAATATTAGAAACAAATAACGTACTAGTAGATAGGTATATAAAAAATATTCTATAAAGGTAAGACACCTTTCCAATATTTCAGGTAATTTAAAAAATTATATCCCTGGGTGTGTTATTAAAGAGTTCAAGCAACCAAAAACAGTAATTGTGCTGTTGTACGATATTGATCGTCGTTTGTTCTTTTCCATACTAAATTATGTAGGTATCTACTTAATTAAATCAAATATTTACAATACAAAACGCTCGTTTAAGCACGGCTAACTGCATAAAAAACAATTCAGACCGTTCGGTCGTCGTTGCGGCACGGCGGCACATTCGCGACTGGGTGCCCGCCGAGAGCACAACGAACTCGAGTGGCGTAGGTCTGTATGACTCGCTTTCCGACCGTTTGTATGAAGATAGAATACTGTATGATATTATTACCGTGCCACAGGTCCAGGGATGTGAACTTGAATCATTCCAATTATTTTGTTTGTTTAATTACTGCAATTTATATACACAAAACTCTTTTTACTGTTTAGTAATGTTTTTCGAGTGTGTGATAAGCATGCCTATTTTTTTGGCTTTATAGAATTCTAAGCTACTGGACTTTTTTTCTTTTCAATTTTTATTTAAACTGAAGTTTTAAGCGGGCGGGGTATTTTTGATTATTAAATACATATTTTGCTTTTTTAGATGGCGAGAAATAAAATACCAGCAGAAGTAATTCGTAAACGAAAGAGAGCATGCGAACGAAAAAGAAGAGATCGTGTAAAGGCTAAAAGACTTGTTTGAAACTCATAAGAAAAAAGACAATCTGCGGTATGCAGAAAAACGACGCCAAAAACAGGTAAAACTAGTATCTGAAATGACTCCCAGAGAACGACGTGCTAAGCAACGTGAATGGCGAGAACGTATAGCTAAGAGTAGATAGAATAAAAAACGTAATGACCGACTATTACAAAATTTGAGAGAGAATACTCCAGAGCACATTGCCGGTGACCGAAACGTAGCTAGCCCTGATTCTCAACGAAATATTTCTTACCTTTCTCCAGCTTCTGTTTCTTCGATTTCCAGAAAGTCGTTCGTTAGTCTTGGATCACCTTTC